CCTGTTGCTGTGTCACCTTGTTGCTGTGTCCCCTTGTTGCTGTGTCCACCTTGTTGCTGTGTCCCCTTGTTGCTGTGTCCCCTTGTTGCTGGTCCCCTTGTTGCTGTGTCTCCTTGTTGCTGTGTCCCCTTGTTGCTGTGTCCCCTTTTGCTGTGTCCCCTTGTTGCTGTGTCCCTTGTTGCTGTGTCCCTTGTTGCTGTGTCCCTTGTTGCTGTGTCCCCTTGTTGTTGTGTCCCCTTGTTGCTGTATCCCTTTTTGCTGTGTCCCTTGTTGCTGTGTCCCCTTGTTGTTGTGTCCCCTTGTTGCTGTGTCCCCTTGTTGCTGTTGTCACCTTGTTGCTGTGTCCCCTTGTTGCTTGTGTCCCCTTGTTGCTGTGTCCCTTTGTTGCTGTGTCCCCTTGTTGCTGTGTCCCCTTGTTGCTGTGTCCCTTGTTGCTGTGTCTCCCCTTGTTGCTGTGTCCCCTTGTTGCTGTGTCTCCTTGTTGCTGTGTCCCCTTGTTGCTGTGTCCCCTTGTTGCTGTGTCCCTTGTTGCTGTGTCCCTTTGGGCTCTGTGCTGTGTCTCCTTGTTGCTGTGTCTCCTTGTTGCTGTTCCTGTTGCTGGTCTCCTTGTTGCTGTGTCCCTTGTTGCTGTGTCCCTTGTTGCTGTGTCCCCTTTTTGCTGTGTCCCTTGTTACTGTGTCCCCTTGTTGCTGTGTCCCTTTTGCTGTGTCTCCTTGTTGCTGTGTCTCCTTGTTGCTGTGTCCCCTTGTTGCTGGTCACCTTGTTGCTGTGTCCCCTTGTTGCTGTGTCTCCTTGTTGCTGTGTCCCTTTTTGCTGTGTCTCCTTGTTGTTGTGTCCCCTTGTTGCTGTGTCCCCTTTTTGCTGTGTCCCTTGTTGTTGTGTCCCCTTTTTGCTGTGTCCCTTGTTGCTGTGTCTCCTTGTTGCTGTGTCCCCTTGTTGCTGTGTCCCTTGTTGCTGTGTCCCCTTTTTTGCTGTGTCTCCTTGTTGCTTTTGTCCCCTTTTTGCTGTGTCTCCTTGTTGCTGTGTCCCCCTTTTTGCTGTGTCCCCTTGTTGCTGTTTTCCTTGTTGCTGTGTCTCCTTGTTGTTGTGTCCCCTTGTTGCTGTGTCCCTTGTTGCTGTGTCCCCTTGTTGCTGTGTCCCTTGTTGCTGTGTCCCTTGTTGCTGTGTCCCTTGTTGCTGTGTCCCTTGTTGCTGTGTCCCCTTGTTGCTGTCACCTTGTTGCTGTGTCCCTTGTTGCTGTGTCCCTTGTTGCTGGGTCTCCTTGTTGCTGTGTCCCCTTGTTGCTGTGTCCCCTTGTTGCTGTGTCCCCTTTTTGCTGTGTCCCTTGTTGCTGTGTCACCTTGTTGCTGTGTCCCCTTGTTGCTGTGTCCCCTTGTTGCTGTGTCCCCTTGTTGTTGTGTCCCTTGTTGCGGGTCCCCTTTGTTGCTGTGTCTCCTTGTTGCTGTGTCCCTTGTTGCTGTGTCCCTTGTTTGCTGTGTCCCCTTGTTGCTGTGTCCCTTGTTGCTGTGTCCCCTTGTTGTGTGTCCCCTTGTTGCTGTGTCCCCTTTTTGTTGTGTCCCCTTGTTGCTGTGTCCCCTTTTGCTGTGTCCCTTGTTGCTGTGTCCCCTTGTTGTTGTGTCCCTTGTTGCTGTGTCCCCCTTTTTGCTGTGTCCACCTTGTTGCTGTGTCCCTTGTTGTTGTGTCCCCTTGTTGCTGTGTCCCCTTTTGCTGTGTCCCTTGTTGCTGTGTCTCCTTGTTGCTGTGTACCCTTGTTGCTGTGTCCCCTTGTTGCTGTGTCCTTGTTGCTGTGTCCCTTGTTGCTGTGTCCCCCTTTTTGCTGTGTCCCCTTGTTGCTGTGTCCCTTGTTGCTGTGTCCTTGTTCTGTGTCTCCTTGTTGCTGTGTCCCTTGTTGCTGTGTCTCCTTGTTGCTGTGTCTCCTTGTTGCTGTGTCCCTTGTTGCTGTGTCCCTTGTTGCTGTGTCCCTTGTTACTGTGTCTCCTTGTATGTGTCTTCCTGTTCCATGTCTCCTTGTCTGTGTCCATGTTTCTGCTTGTCCTTGTTACTGTGTCTCCGTTGTTTCTGTGTACCCTTGTGTTGCTGTGTCTCCTTTGTTGCTGTGTCTCCTTGTTGCTGTGTCTCCTTGTTGCTGTGTCTCATCTCTGAAACATTCCGTCCCTATACCGTGTCAATTCCTTAGTATCTTTATATATCGATTATCATGTCCCTCTGCTTATTCCTTCCTGTCCCCAGTGTCGTCAGGTTGAGTTCATATACTCAGTTACGACATACCCCTTAGAGCTTTCGTCATAGTCATGTTGCTACCTTTGCACTTTCTCTAATTTCTTGACGTCTAGCAGGCTGTGGGTTCCAAATGGTGCTTGCATACTCCAATATGGCTGAGTACAGGTGGACAGAGTCTTGAATGCTGTCCGTTACTGAGGTATCGGAATGCTATTTTAGGTTGCTAGGCGCCATATGCGTGCAGTTAGTTACTTTGGTTGATGTCGCCGCGGAGATGTGCTCGGTGTTATACTCACCCCAAGTTCCTCTTCCTTGAGTGAGGTTTACAGTCTTTGGTCACCTAGATTGTACTCTGTCTGTGGTCTTATTCTCGTCCTGTAGTTCTTTATGGCCTTGCACTTGGTGGGGTTGAACTCCAGGAGCCAGTTGTTGGACCAGGTCTGCAGCCTGTCCAGATACCCCTGTAGTCTTCATTCACTTGAATTCTCCAAATTAGCTTCACATCACCTGCAAACAGGGACACCTCTGAATCTACCCCTTCCGTCATGTCGTTCACATACACTAGAAACAGCAGTGGCCTTAGGACTGACCCTTGTGGAACCCCACTCGTCACAGTCGCCCACTCTAACACCTCGCCACGTACCATCACTCGTTGTTGACTTCCCGTCAGGTATTCTCTGATCCAGTGGAGTGCCTTCCTTTGTATCTCAGTGTGTGTGTGTGTGTGTGTGTGTGTGTGTACTTACCTAATTTTCCTTGCAGGGGGGGGGGGTTGAGTTTCAGCTCCTGGCATCGTGGACCCTATCATACCTATTCTTGAAGCTCTTTACTGAACTTTCTACTATCACTTTCATCTAGTCGATTCCATTTATTTAGCACACTGAGGCTGAAGAAGTTCTTCCCAACATCCCTGTGGTTCAGCTGTGTCCTTAGCTTCTATCCTTCACCCTTCCCACCCACACCTGCTTCTGGTTGGGTGCTGTCCCCCACACCTGCTTCTGGTTGTGAACTGTCCTCCACACCTGCTTCTGGTTGTGTACTGTCCCCCACACCTGCTTCTGGTTGTGTACTGTCCCCCACATCTGCTTCTGGTTGTGTACTGTCCTCCACACCTGCTTCTGGTTGTGTACTGTCCCCACACCTGCTTCTGGTGTTATACTGTCCCCCACATCTGCTTCTGGTTGTGTACTGTCCCCCACACCTGCTTCTGGTTGTGTACTGTCCCCACACCTGCTTCTGGTGTTTACTGTCCCCCACAAACCCGCTTCTGGTTGTGTTCTGTCCCCCACATCTGTTTCTGGTTTTGTACTGTCCCCCACACCTGCTTCTGGTTGTGTACTGTCCCCCACACCTGCTTCTGGTTGTGCACTGTCCCCCACAACCTGCTTCTGGTTGTGTACTGTCCCCCACACCTGCTTCTGGTTGTGTACTGTCCCCCACACCTGCTTCTGGTTGTGCACTGTCCCCCACACCTGCTTCTGGTTGTGTACTGTCCCCCATACTGTTTCTGGTTGGGTACTGTCCCCTCACACCTGCTTCTGGTTGGGTACTGTCCCCTCACACCTGCTTCTGGTTGGGTACTGTCCCCCACACCTGCTTCTGGTTGTGTACTGTCCCCCACACCTGCTTCTGGTTGGGTACTGTCCCCCATACCTGCTTCTGGTTGGGTACTGTCCCCCACACCTGCTTCTGGTTGTGTACTGTCCCCCACACCTGCTTCTGGTTGTGTACTGTCCCCCACACCTGCTTCTGGTTGGGTACTGTCCCCCACACCTGTTGATGGGAGTGCACACCCCCACACCTCACAACCCTCCCAACCCTCCTCCAAAACCCAAACACCCCTCGTCCCCCCTCCTTGCAGTACCCACGCCCACCCCACGCCCACCCCACGCCCGCATCGCAGGCGCTGCGCCGCGCGGCCTCACGCCTATCGATTATTCATTTAGATCTGTGATTCACATGTAAATAAAGGAACGCGTGAAGAGGCGAAAATCAACACTCTGCTGGCCATCACTATTACAGACTCGAACCTCCTCATACGCACACCCATTACCGATGCAAATTCCTCATAAGATATTCACTGCTGCAATGAGTGTTGATTCCCGCTTATAAATGCGGTTGAAATAGTTGATTAAAATGGAGTCTGGGGGAGCAGCGCTATGCAACCCATCCATTTTATGTCTAGTTTTGGGGTAAAAGGGGATCGTAGGAATGGATAGGCAGTAAGGAGTTGTCAGTCATAATGAGAGGGTGGTGTGAGTGGCTAGGAGCGCCAGTGGGCGGGACAGTGGGCGGCGAGAAGGCTACGAGGGGTGGAGTCAAGCGGGTGTTGACGGGGCTTTCCCTGAGTCCTATTTAGCGAATTTTTAGCTTTGTGGGGTTATTTAGTGGTGGGTGGTGAACTGTGGGCGGGGGAGGGTGTGGGACAGGTGTGGGTGGGGTGGTAGTGTGGGTGGGTGGGGTTAGGTGGGCGTGGGTGGTATATATAAGTGGGTGGTGGCATTAGGAAGTGTTGTGACGGAGCGCCGCCCACTGCTTGCCCACCCAAAATGGCTAATCAGGAGGTGGGTGGGTGGGCGGGTTTGGGTGGAAGGGGCGGGAGGAGGGAGGGGGCGGTCGAAGGAAGGAAGGGGGAAGGAGAAAGGGGGGTGGAATGGATATTAGCCGGAGTGGTGAATATCGCGCGGGCCGCCGCGCAAGAGCGTGGCGGTAGCGGGCCGCAAGGAGAGCCGCAATAAGGCTGGTTCACTGGTCCACCTGGACCACTCGGGGCTTGGAACCCCCGCCCCGCTGACACGCATCTCTGTCCCGCGACCTCCCACGCCTTCAGTCGCAGCTTGTCGGCACACGCGCGAGCCACGCCATGCTGCTCTAACGCCGCGGGAGAGCGCATACACACACACGCCAAGTGTTACACGGACCCACGCCAAGAACCGACTTCGCGGGTTACGAAGTCGAAGCGAGAAGGGAACATCGAAGTCGCCAAGAAAGTGACTTCGAGGCTGACGCAAAGAGATCGAAGTAGACGCAAGAAACGGGGGGGACACTCAACGCAAGAGGAGACCTCGAAGTTGACGAAAAAAGAGACTTTGAGGCTGACGGAAAGAAGGGCTTCGAAGTAGACCGAAGAAACAGGAGGACACTCGACGCAAGAAAAGACCTCGAAGTTGTAGCAAAAAGATCGAAGCTGACGCAAAGGAGGGCTTCTAAGTAGAGCAATCTAGGTTGACGTAAAAGACATCGAAGTCGCCGGAAGAAAGAAACACTGAACTCGACGAAGAAGAGAGACTTCGAGGATGAATCTCCTTCATCCCGACCGAGGGGCACTATATGCCAACATGCTAGGTAGCATGGGTAGCATGGGCACCATGGGCAGCATGAGCACCTCTTCAGCAGTGCCCCAACGCTCTCCCTTCGCTATCCAGGAGCTGCTGGGCCTAGGCTCCTCAGAGGGACAGAGATCTCCTCCAGGACTGGGCTCACCAACAGGCTTACCACCCTCCATCACCCCCTCAGCCCTGGGCACGTCTCTGGGCACATCAGCCTACACAGCCGCCCGCACCCTGGCATCACAGGCCTCCCAGCTCCTCGAACCCCTGGTCGTGGGCGCGGGGGCGGGTATGGGCGCCGGTATGAGGGGGTATTTCGGGCAATTCAACCCATTCGGGCACAGCCCGCCCCAGATGCTGGCTCTGGACCCAGCCCTCAGACATGACGCCCACCACGCCCACCACCACGCCCATGCAGGTAACTCTACGTCTTTATAATACACTTAAGGAAGCACTAAACCCTCAAGGGCCATTGTTCTTATTAGTATTATCATTGTGTTGTTGTTGTTGCTGTTATTATTATTATTATTATTATTATTATTTTTATTATTATTATTATTATTATTATATTATTATTATTATTATTTATTATTATTATTATTTATTATTATTATTATTATTATTATTATTATATTATTAACCTGAATTCAGGACTGTGTTGACCTCTTTCCCATACATACACACACACCACACATACATATATATATAAATACGTATATATATATATATATATATATATATATATATATATATATATATATATTTTATATATATATATATATATAATATATATATATATATATATATATATTTATGTACAGGAGAAGGGGTTACTAGCCCCTTGCTCCCGGCATTTTAGTCGCCTCTTACGACACGCAGAGGAATAATTCTGTTCCACTTTCCCATGGAGATAAGAGGAAATAAACAAGAACAAGAACAAGCAAGAAAATAGAAGAAACCCCAGAGGGGTGCGTATATATTTACTTGCACATGTATGTGGAGTGTGACCTAAGTGTAAGTAGCAAGATATACCTGTTATCCTTCTTGTTTATGAGACAGAAAAAAGACACCAGCAGTCCTACCATCATGTAAAACAATTACAGGCTTTTGTTTTACACTCACTTGGCAGGACGGTAGTACCTCCCTGGGTGGTTGCTGTCTACCAACCTACTACCTCAGGACGGTAGTACCTCCCTGGGTGGTTGTTCTCTACCAGCCTACTACCACAGGACGGTAGTACCTCCCTGGGTGGTTGTTGTCTACCAACCTACAACCACAGGACGGTAGTACCTCCCTGGGTGGTTGTTGTCTAAACCCAAACCCACTACCACAGGACGGTAGTAACCTCCCTGGGTGGTTGTTCTCTACCAGCTACTACCACAGGACGGTAGTACCTCCCTGGGTGGTTGCTGTCTACCAACCTACTACCACAGGACGGTAGTACCTCCCTGGGTGGTTGTTCTCTACCAGCCTACTTTCCACGGACCGGTTAGTACCTCCCTGGGTGGTGTTGTCTACCAACCTACAACCACAGGACGGTAGTACCTCCTGGGTGGGTTTTTGTCTACCAACCTACTACCACAGGACGGTAGTACCTCCCTGGGTGGTTGTTCTCTACCAGCCTACTACCACAGGACGGTAGTACCTCCCTGGGTGGTTGTTGTCTACCAACCTACTACCACAGGACGGTAGTACCTCCTGGGTGGTTGTTCTCTACCAGCCTACTACCCAGGACGGTAGTACCTCCTGGGTGGTTGTTGTCTACCAACCTACAACCACAGGACGGTAGTACCTCCTGGGTGGTTGTTGTCTAACCAACCTACTACCACAGGACGGAGTACCTCCTGGGTGGTTGTTTACAGCCTACTACCACAGGACGGTAGTACCTCCCTGGGTGGTTGTTGTTACCAACCTACTACCAAGGACGGTAGTACATCCCTGGGTGGTTTGGGTGTCTACCACCTACTAAACCACAGGGGCGGTAGTACCTCCCTGGGTGGTTGTTGTCTACCAACCTACAACCACAGGACGGTAGTACCTCCCGGGGGGTTGTTGTCTACCAACCTACTACCACAGGACGGTAGTACCTCCCTGGGTGGTTGTTGTCTACCAACCTACTACCACAGGACGGTAGTACCTCCCTGGGTGGTTGTTGTCTACCAACCTACTACCACAGGACGGTAGTATTTCCCTGGGTGGTTGCTGTCTTTCCAACCTATTACCACAGGACGGTAGTAAACCTCCCCGGGGGGTTGTTGTCTACCAACCTACTACCCAGGACGGTAGTACCTCCCTGGGTGGTTGTTGTCTACCAACCTACTACCACAGGACGGTAGTACCTCCCTGGGTGGTTGTTGTCTACCCAAACCCACTACCACAGGGACGGTAGTACCTCCCTGGTGGTTGTTGTCTACCAACCTACTACCACAGGACGGTAGTACCTCCCTGGGTGGTTGCTGTCTACCAACCTACTACCACAGGACGGTAGTACCTCCCTGGGTGGTTGTTGTCTACCAAACCTATACCACAGACGGTAGTAAACCCCCCTGGGTGGTTGTTGTCTACCAACCTACTACCACAGGACGGTAGTTTTTCCCTGGGGGTTGCTGTCTACCAACCTACTACCACAGGCGGTAGTACCTCCTGGGTGGTTGTTGTCTACCAACCTACTACCACAGGACGGTAGTACCCCTGGGTGGTTGTTGTCTACCAACCTACTACCACAGGACGGTAGTACCTCCCTGGGTGGTTGTTGTCTACCAAACCCATACCAACAGGACGGTAGTACCTCCCTGGGTGGTTGTTGTCTACCCAAACCCACTACCACAGGACGGTAGTACCTCCCTGGGTGGTTGTTGTCTACCAACCTACTACCACAGGACGGTAGTACCTTCCCTGGGTGGTTGTTGTCTACCAACCCACTACCACAGGACGGTAGTACCTCCCTGGGTGGTTGTTGGGCTTACCAACCACTACCACAGGACGGTAGTACCTCCCTGGGTGGTTGTTGTCTACCAACCTACTGCCACAGGACGGTAGTACCCTCCCTGGGTGGTTGTTGTCTACCAACCCACTACCACAGGACGGTAGTATTTCCCCGGGTGGGTTGCTGTCTACCAACCTACTTTCCACAGGACGGTAGTACCCCTGGGTGGTTGTTGTCTACCAACCTACTACCACAGGACGGCAGTACCTCCCTGGGTGGTTGTTGTCTACCAACCTATACCACAGGACGGTAGTACCTCCCTGGGGGGGTTGTTGTCTACCAACCCCCTACCACAGGACGGTAGTATTTCCCTGGGTGGTTGGCTTTTTCCAACCTACTACCACAGGACGGTAGTACCTCCCTGGGTGGTTGTTTTCTCACCAACCTACTACCACAGGACGGTAGTACCCCCCTGGGTGGTTGTTGTCTACCAACCTAATACCTCAGGACGGTAGTACCTCCCTTTGGGTGGTTGTTTTCTACCAACCTACTACCACAGGTCGGTAGTAACCTCCCTGGGTGGTTGCTGTCTACCAACCTACTACCACAGGACGGTAGTACCTCCCTGGGTGGTTGTTGTCTACCAACCCACTACCACAGGTCGGTAGTACCTCCCTGGGTGGTTGCTGTCTACCAACCTACTTCCACAGGACGGTAGTACCTCCCTGGGTGGTTGCTGTCTACCAACCTACTACCACAGGTCGGTAGTACCTCCATGGGTGGTTGCTGTCTACCAACCTACTACCACAGGACGGTAGTACCTCCCTGGGTGGTTGTTGTCTACCAGCCTACTACCACAGGACGGTAGTACCTCCCTGGGTGGTTGTTGTCTACCAACCTACTACCACAGGACGGTAGTACCTCCCTGGGTGGTTGTTGTCTACCACCTACTACCACAGGACGGTAGTTACCTCCCTGGGTGGTTTGCTGTCTACCAAAACCCAAATACCACAGGTCGGTAGTACCTCCCTGGGTGGTTGCTGTCTACCAACCACTACCACAGGAAGGTGTACCTCCCTGGGGTTTGTTGTCTACCAGCCTACTACCACGGACGGTAGTACCTCCCTGGGTGGTTGTTGTCTTCCAACCTACTACCACAGGGCGGTAGTACCTCCCTGGGTGGTTGTTGTCTACCACCCACTTTCCACAGGACGGTAGTACCTCCCTGGGTGGTTGCTGTCTACAAACCTACTTACCACAGGACAGTAAATACCCCCCTGGGTGGTTGCGTCTACCAACCTACTACCACAGGACGGTAGTACCTCCCTGGGTGGTTGTTGTCTACCAAGCCTACTACCACAGGACGGTAGTACCTCCCTGGGTGGTTGTTGTCTACCAGCCTACTACTACAGGACGGTAGTACCTCCCTGGGTGGTTGTTGTCTACCAGCCTACTACCACAGGACGGTAGTACCTCCCTGGGTGGTTGCTGTCTACCAACCTACTACCACAGGACGGTAGTACCTCCCTGGGTGGTTGTTGTCTACCAGCCTACTGCCACAGGACGGTAGTTTCCTCCCTGGGTGGTTGTTGTCTACCAACCTACTACCACAGGACGGTAGTACCTCCCTGGGTGGTTGTTGTCTACCAGGTAGTACCTCCCTGGGTGGTTGTTGTCTACCAGGTAGTACCTCCCTGGGTGGTTGTTGTCTACCCTCCTACTACCCCTGGACGGTAGTACCTCCCTGGGTGGTTGCTGTTACCAACCTACTACCACAGGGCGGTAGTACCTCCCCGGGTGGTTGTTGGGCTACCAGCCTACTACCACAGGACGGTGTACCTCCCTGGGTGGTTGCTGTCTACCAACCTACTACCACAGGACGGAAGTACCTCCCTGGGTGGTTGTTGTCTACGAGCCTACTACCACAGGACGGTAGTACCTCCCTGGGTGGTTGTCTACCAACCTACTACCTCAGGACGGTAGTACCTCCCAGGGTGGTTGTTGTCTACCAGTCTACTACTACAGGACGGTAGTACCTCCCTGGCCGGTTGTTGTCTACCAATCTACTGCCACAGGACGGTAGTATCTCCCTGGGTGGTTGTTGTCTACCCGGTCTACTACCACAGGACGGTAGTACCTCCCTGGGTGGTTGTTGTCTACCAGTCTACTACCACAGGACGGTAGTACCTCCCTGGGTGGTTGTTGTCTACCAGTCTACTACCACAGGTCGGTAGTACCTCCCTGGGTGGTTGTTGTCTACCAGTCCACTACCACAGGACGGTAGTACCTCCCTGGGCGGTTGTTGTCTACCAATCTACTACCACAGGACGGTAGTACCTCCCTGGGTGGTTGTTGTCTACCAGTCTACTACCACAGGACGGTAGTACCTCCCTGGGTGGTTGTTGTCTACCAGTCTACTACAACAGGACGGGGGCACCTCCCTGGGTGCTTGTTGTCTACCAGCCTACTGCCACAGGACGGTAATACCTCCC